CCTCGCTCTTCCTCTCCTCCGCTACCCCATCCGTTGCTTTTTTTTTCTTTTGTTGCATAAAAAGAAAAGAAAGAGAAGTTGTAATTCTCTTTTCTTCGCTAGTTCTTTGCTGTTTTAGCAAATGCGTCGCCTGCGTGTAAAGATCCGGGCTGAAAACTAATAAAAATGGAGATACGGGAAATGAGACGCTGGAATGAGACCGATTAACCCTAAAAACCATCAACCGTGGCGGGGACACTGTGTTGAACAACCACTTCACTTGTGTCTTGTCCAATCCACAATAAAATTCTATCGTAGAATATCCGAAATTCGCTTCAAGGGAGTAACTTCGGGCAAAAAAAAAATGCATAGGAAGTTAGCAGGTTCGGCAAAAAAATCTGAAGATTTTCTAGTAGAACAGTATAAGATTTTCTAGTATAACAGTCCCAAGTACGGTAAACTTTATATTCGTAGATCCGTGTTTTGAGTGAACTTTGCCTGGGATGATCAAATTATTTTGAAAACTCAGTGACTCAATTTTCCTACTTTGATCACATGACGTTTTACCGAAGCGCATCTCCATATCATCTGTTCTTTTAACAAATTTCTCATGTCTATCTTGCTGGGACTTCATCGTCAACTGTTTAGCAAATCTCGATTCTGGCGTTCATTTCGTGCTTCCTTTTCCTCTTCCAGAAATAACTTCCACTACTAACATTTATTCCACAATTTAATCTTGTTATCATTCATTACACAGTACTATTAACATTCATTACACAATTTAATCTTAATATCTACTAACTCTAGTTTCCACACTCGTCGTACCGACGAGATCCAATTATGATAATGGTAAGAAATGTATACACGATTTAATCGACCGAAACATTTCTTACCATTAAAGTAATTCTATTAATTTGCAAATTTTGTAATTCTCGTCTCTTATCTTCCTTTTTGCTCCCTTTTCTTCCGTTTTACGCCTTTTTCTTCCAAACTGTACTGCATCTCCTTTGCGCTGCTTTTGCGTCAGTGCCAGCTGACCGCTTTTCGACAGCTATGACGATTGTTCATTCCCACAAAATGATAAAAAAAAAAGCAAGATGGTTAATTTGGATCTGAAAAATTGGCAGTTTTAACACATAGGACACGTAGGATTTGTTAATAATTTGCACTTCATAATTCTTCAACTCTTTGTAACTTACTTTACATTAGTTACCTTTCTTATTTTCCGTACATTTACTTCTAGACACCTACTTACCTTATCCTCATCTTCTGATTGTTTTCTTCATTATCACCTTCTACTTTTCCTACCGTTTTTCTTTCACTTTCCTTTTCACTTATTACTTTTCCATACAGTTAACTTATTTACTCTCCCATCTTACCCTTTTAAAAAACTTTACCACAATCGTCGTACTGGCGAGGTCCAATTGTGGTAAAGGTAAGAAATGCAAACGACTTAATGGACCGAAACATTTCTGACCTACTGTAATAATTCTTTTCATGTTTTTATCATTCTTTCTTATATCTTTTCTTTAACCTTAAATTAAAATTTTTTGGGACGCCTTTGGCAGTAATTTTTCAGAGAAGTATGCTGTACAACTTTTACTCATTACTTTTGATAATGTCCAGCTTTTTCCCTGTAATAGGAAAATACTGGGAATCCTGCTTTTGCCGAAAGCCTACAGCCCCGCTGGGTCACCACAGTTTCGTTACTGATATTACACATCCAAATGCTACTCCACTACGCATGTGCCTCACTTCTCCGTAATCTTTTATTTATGTGCTGGAGAAACGTGTTTTAAAATCTCATAAAATCCGATTTCCATTGCGTTGTGTCTTCGTTTTTCAGCTGCTTTGAGTGATTGTTAAACATCGTGGGATTCACATTCATACTGCCACAATTTTCTGGCACCCCAATTTGTTCTATAAAGAGAAATTCATTGAAATTTTTGTGGTTGTTCACTCGGGTTACATTCTTATTACATTATTAGTTATTAATTTATCATTGTTATTCTCGCAAATACGTCGGAAGGGGGAAGGGGCGGAAAATATTAACTAGAGTTATGCAACTGAGGTTCAAAAAGCGTGGCATGCACCTATCATGCGAGAACATGGGATCCTCACACCAGTTGTCCGGGTGGTCTTTGTATTCTTGGCATTCGAGTATGAATGCTTATATTTTGCGTTATATTATTAGCAGGATGCGAAGAATATCCATATGTTGAGTAACTGATATTATAAAATTCCAGCTAAGATTTGGTTCCCTTAGGTTAAACTTCCACATCTTAGGCTGCCGTTTTTTGTTTGTTACTGATCATTTCCAGCACATCTGAAGAAATGATATTTGTGGATTCGTTTTCATTATATATACTGTTAAAGAGCATTCGGCGCATGCATTGCTTAGATGCAGCAGTGGTAACTCTACTGGTGTCTTGTTTTCCTCGCGAGTACCACTCACTGACCAGTGGTACTCGCCGTTTGTCCGCAGAGCGAACAGCGTTGTTTTCAGTGAAGTTTTGTTTTTCATACATGATAAACGACAACTCGATATCCATCTCTAAAAGCATTGACGAAATGCTTTTCATTCGCTTTTTACTCAGTGATACAACCAGTTTTTGTTTTATTACTCCGAAGAGCCCCTGTCTCAAAATTTGATTTTTCCGTTGACTATATATCTGGCAGCGTTTCCCTTCTGATTGATTCTAAACTGTTCATTTTAATGTTACTGAATTGGCTAACTGCTTCTACTTGTAATTTCAAGCAGGAAATACAGAAGTAGGCGATGGTCGCTGTTCTAGTTAAAATTGACCTCGGTGTTTTTGTGGTAAATTAGTTGGGCCAGTGTTATGTCATCTAATGACCCATTTTGAATGGAATTTTGTTTCTTTTTTTTTTCCAGGAACACATTATCACGTTTGATGTCTGGTATGGGTGTGGATGAGACGCCAAATGAAAACGGACAAATTTCCAATGATTCGGGCATTATAGCGGATGATTCGTGGTATGAAAGTGGTTGTAAACCGTTCATTGAGAAGACTTTGTTAACTGCCGCAAACAGCTCGTTTGGTATTGCCACATCTCGATCGCTTACTGCCCCATCCACACCAGCAAGCACTGTTTCCTGGAAAGGTGGTTAGTGCTTAAGGGTT